CACACACCAGCTGGAATGCATCCAATTACACGATCCACCCAAGTCATCACAAAACTTGACGCCACACCCTCCATTCGGTGACAATCACGTTCTACTCGGCGGCGGCGGCGGGATCCTCGTTCGTTTCACGTCACGCCCTAAAGTGCAAGCAGATGGTCAAAGACATGTAAGACAATGACGATGAACCGGGGAAAAGCTGCGCGGGAACGACAGACCAAGTAACGAGTAACGAACAGGAGAGAGAAAGGCAATGTGTAAGCATGGGGGCGGGGGGTGATATTTGACCTCTCACATTTGTCTTCACTCAGGAATGAGCAGAGCGGGCGTGGGGTTAAAAACGCTACGCCATGTGGCAAACTATACCCTATCGAAGCCAATTAACTCAACATTTAGCCCTCAATGCCTGATGTATTGTGGGATTGAATAACAAATTGACATGCGGCAAGTGTGTGAATGTTTTCTGAACTGGGTGGGGGGCTGGTCTCAGCTGCGAAAACATCCGGCCCACCTGCTGGCCACACATGCCGTTTTTCTCAGCATCAACCTTAAATGTTTGTGTAAGTAACACTTTTAAAAAGCTCTTAGTTGGTACGTGAGCCATGCATGCAGTGCGGTTTAAAGCCGTTTCCTATGACTGAAGCAAACTTCACGTAATCCCCCCTCACGCACTCACAGTATGAGACCTGCAGGATAGTAAAACCTTTCCTGTATTTTTTTCATGTGTTTTGGGGTCAGTGACGAAGCTACATGCCAAATTCCGCCCCCCCCATCATAGTATGCCATTTAAAAAAAAAAAAACATTACTTTGGGAGGGTTGGGGGGGTGTTGCTAGGAAACCTGAATCTTTGCAAGAGCGGAGCCATTGTGGTTTGGACACAGACGTAAATTACAAACTGCGACGGCACAGCGGAATTCCTGGCGCGGGACCAGCGAGGCAGGGCAATAGGATAGGAAAGTAAAACTAGCGCAAAGCTAGCGGGAGGGGGGAAAATATGCTAATTTTTCGTTGAAGTGGTGACTTTCTATTCATTGCACATATGAAGAACATTAGAACCACGTTGCGTCACTGTCCGTGCTCCGTTCCAAATATGGTCACATTTATATTCATCAATATTATTTGGTCTGGAGGACATCATCTGTTCAAATTGGACGCACTTATTAACCAATTTACGGTGTCGAAAATAGCCAGAGAGCAACGACAATAACTCTTGAACGCCCAATTGTCTGAGAAGGGCGCGCCTCTACTCTCACTCTGCGGGAGCTGTGCCTCATTATGGTGCTTCAAGATTGTACTTCTGGATGTTATTTTGACCCATTTAACTCATTTGACTTATTTTTCCACTTGCGCATAGTGACACTTGTATTCATTCCTTGAAAAGGAATTCTTTGACTACGGTGTGGAATAATCCAAGCAGGAAGTGATCAAGTGGTAGC